TGACTTGAAAGGTTGAATTGTTGATCTATCACCAAGTAGGAAAGTTATCTCACTTTTGAATTAGTCTTAAATATTGTATTTTCTTTTCATCATCAGTAAAAAAAGTTAAAAATAATTCTTATTTTTTATAGAGTTTTATATATTTATATATTTTTATTTTATTATTTAATTATAATATCAAGGCTTTATACATATGACATGAAAGGCTGAGTTGTTTACCCACCACTAGGAAAACAATTTCATCATTTTTGGGTCGATTTTAAATTTTATATTTTATTTCCACCAGTAATAAAAACAACAATTATTTGTCACATTTATTTTTTCTTTGACTTGGTTGGCACCCTTGCTTCAAATTGGCCAGTGACTTGGTTGATTACCAGTTGGGAATCGTTGAAAGCCTCAACTCGCTTGGCTCTGAGGTCAAGGGTGAGCCGAAGTCCAGCTATCAGGGCTTCATACTCGGCCCCTTTGTTTGATGCTTTAAACTCAAACCTAAGGACATACTCTAGGACGTTGCTATCTAGGCCAAGGAGGATGAACCTAGCTCCGCTGCCTTGTTGGTTGGACGAGCCATCCACATGGAGTCCATGCTGGTGGGACCTCGGTTGGATCTTATACTAAGAAGGTGCACTCGGCCACGAAGTCGGCTAAGGCATGGGCTTTGATGGAGGGCCGAGGTGCATAGTCGATGTCGAACTTGCTCAGTTCCACGCTCCATTTGATCGGGCGTCCAGACGTCTCTAACCTCTGTAGGACCTATTTGAGTGGCTGGTCGGTGAGCACTCGGACATTGTGCACTTGGAAATATGGCATCTTGCCGAGGTGACCAGGGCCAGGGCAACATTCTCTAGGTTTGAGTACCGTGTCTCTGCACCTGTAAGGACCTTGTTGGTGTAATAGATTGGCCTTTGGGTCTGACCTTCCTCTTTTACCAGGACTAAGCTGGCCACCTCGTCACCAGCCAATAGGTAGAGCAGGAGTAGATCTCCTAGGTTCGACTTTGTGAGCAGGGGTGGTAAGCTCAAGTAGCTTTTTCAGTTCCTGGAAGGACCGTTTACATCCCTCTATCCACTATAAGTCTTTCACCTGTCCATGGACATCGACATGTGTTGAGTGCGACTATCCGTCCGGTGAGGCATTACATTTCCTTGTATGTCCGCGGTGATTGGATGTTGAGGATGGCTTGTATCTCTTATGGGTTTGCCTCAATCCCCCTCTGCATAACCATGAACCATAAGAACTTATCGGAACCAACACCAAAGGCACGCTTCGTTGGGTTCAACATCATCTGGTATTTCTTGAGGGTGGCGAAGACTTCCTTTAGGTTGACCAGGTGCTGCTCGAACTTTTTACTTTTTACTAGCATGTCATCTACATAAGCTTCCACGTTTTAGTCGAGCTGATCCTTGAATATATGGTTCACCAACCGCTGGTAGGTAGCGCCAACATTCTTCAGACCGAAGGCCATCACTTTGTAAAAGTATAGTCCTCAGTTGATGATGAAGGCGGTCTTCTCCTGCTCATTTGGATTTGGTTATAACCATAGAAGGCATCCATGAAACTTAGAAGTTCGTGCCCATCCGTTGCATTGATGAGCTAGTCGATCCTCGATAGGGGAAACTATCTTTTAGGCAGGCCCTGTTCAAGTCGGTGAAGTCGATGCAGATCTTCCACTTTCCATTGGCTTTCTTGACCATCACCATGTTTTCCAACTAGTCCAGATAAGTCACTTCTCAGATGAAGTCGGCGTCGAGAAGTTTTTGTACCTCCTTGTTGATCATCTGCTACCGTTCTAAGGCAAAGCTCCTCTTCTTTTGCCTCACGGGTTGATAGCGTAGGTCAGCATTTAGGCGATGGGTGATGACCTTGGGATCAATCCTTAGCATGTCTACCGCCAAACAAGTGAACACGTCGGCATTATCCTTGAGGACCTGCACTATGTCATTCCAAAGGTGGTCTTCTAGGAGGGACCTAACCTAGACTATCTTCTCGGGGTCTTCACTAGAAAGGGGTACCTGGATGAGGTCTTCCACAGGCTAGCCGTGCTATGTTCGCAACTCATCCCTCAAGTCCGTGTTCTCTATGTTAAGCGTCTTGGTGGCGTGCGATCTTCCTCGATAAGTTGTTAGGTAGCATTGCCTCATGGCTCTCTGGTTCCCACAAGCAAGGCCTTCTCCGTATGGGGTTGAGAACTTTACAGCTAGGTGGTATGTGGAGACTGAAGCCCGTAAAGTGTTCAATGTCGGTTGCCCAAGGATGGTGTTGTAAGGGGAAAGGACACAAACAACAATACAGTCGATCATTGTCGTGGTGGTGATGTTACTGTCCCCTATCAACAGTGGTAGGGTGATCTTTCCCTGAGGCATGAGGGAGTCCTCGGAGAAACCCACCAAAGGAGTGTTGACCGGCATGAGATGATCCCTACTAATGTTGAGCCGCTCAAAGGCTTCTTTGAAGAGAGCATTGGCCGAGCTCCTTGTGTCTACCAATATACATCGAACCTTGAAGTTGGCCACTTCGGCAGTTATCATGAGGGTGTCGTCATGTGGAGTTAGGACCGCCCTGAGATCGTCATCGGTGAAAGTGATCGGATCATCCTGCCGCTGGTAAGAACAGTGCTAGTCTGAGCATAAGAGGTAGAGCAGAGGTATTCAAAGTCCAAAAGTCCCTTACCTTAAATGGACATCCGTGTTCTAATCGGATGAGGCTTACGGGATTGTTGGGATGAGGTCATCCACCGAGGACTTTGGGATGTCTCCTTTTCCACAGTGGAGTTAACTTCCTAGTCTCTGTAGGATACTCCTTCTAAGTCGTGGTTATCCATCATGCGTGGTGTCGACGTGGCTATAGAGAGAGAGGATGGTCGTGGAGGTTGCTATCGGAGTTTGTCTGCACCCAACACTAGATGAACATTGGGTGTGACAATCAACAACTTCATTCCGTGGTTCTTGCTCTTAGAGGTTTTCGTTGCCTCAACTCTCTTTTGGCCCCTCTTAAAACCATCTCCATCATTGTCACCATCATTGTGGGCCGTGTCATTGTCTACTTCCTCTCTCTCATTTATGTTTATAGCTTCAATAATTCCATCAAAAACACCAATTTATTGGGGAAAAGACAAGGTTCGACTCTCCCTTGTCTCTCCTCTTGATTTGCTATTTCGAGAAGATGAATGTTAACAACAATCGTAGATGAAAACGCTTTTTGCTCTGCTCATTACCTTATTTTTTCGTTTTTTTTTTTCTTTTTGCATTTATTTTCTTGGATTTCATATGGATCTCTTAGATATAGATCTCAGTAATGCGAGAGTCTATAATAGTAATACTCATATTATATTGATAAATTTTCTTGGTTTTTTTTTTCCTGTTTATTATTAACTTCAAAAGATCTAAGAAACAATGGTGTTTGTGAAATGAAAATTACCTTTTGGGGTATTTATGTGTAGATGATAGGTTGTTGGTTTGTGATAGAGAACTTGGGCTTTGTTTCATCTTCTTAAGGAAGAAGATGATGAATAATGTGTTTAATTTCCAAGGGTAATTTTGATGTTTTTAAAAGTCTTAAATTACACATGAGGTCACATGATATGTATAATTAACGGTAGGTACTAGATTGTCGCTTTTTGAATGTTTGGGTACTGGATTGTCACATTTTAAAGTTTGGGGACCAAATTGTACTCGAGCTAAAGTACAAGGTACTGATTGGGAATTTCCCCTAATAATATTTTCTAACTGACATATGAAAAAGTTGAGATCTTTTGCCAACAAAAAGCATTCCAACCCCTATCCTTGTACCGCACATCTCACCATGAGATTGAGACCCACCATAAAAAGTTAGGAGAAGTACAGATAGGCCCATTGTAGATTTCTGAATCCCACTATAGAACTATAAACATTCAAAATGTCAAATACCTCCATTCTATACACCAATGCCCGCTTGTGAATTGACATCAATTCTGAACTAGCACCTACCTCAAATGTACTTTGGACCTAAAAATTTTGACCCTGGGCTGAACCATTATTCTCCCTAAAAAGTAGAATCCGCCATGTATGAGAAATTGGGATCTCCTACCAAAACACATTCCAACCCCTACCAACTTGATCCAAGACTGCACATCTTACCATGAACATGGACCCACCATCAAAGTAGGACTTAAGGTTTGTGGTGTCCGATGATATTGATAGGCTATTGTAATGTATTTTGTTGGAAGGTGTGGACTCCGTGTGAAACGGTGAAACGGGCTACGTAACCAATGATAAGTTAACATGTCAATATTCTAAAACAAAATACGTTCCAATCCTCTTCAAACTTAATCTAACACCGCACATTTCACTATGAGACTGGTCACATTATAAAAGTGGGACCTGTTATGTATGAGATGTGCAGTGTAAGATTATGTTAATTGAAGGTTGGAACGTTATTTTATTGGCAGGTAATTCAGACCCGTTAAGCGTTAGGGTCATCAATTAAATGTCAGAAGTAGAGCTATAAAATGGGTCATACCATTGGACCAAAGTGCGGGCCATATTGGACACGATACAATTATGTGGGCCATATCGGGCCAGGAATTTTAGGTCAATGGACTGACATAACACGACATGATTGAGCAGATCATGCCACCTGCACCTCGTGTGCTGGCCTAGCCCATGACACGACCCAATACATAACACGGGCCAGCATGGCTCATATATATTATATTTATATATAATATACAATCTATTAATAAAATAAACAATTATTTTTATTTTTTTAATACTTTTTTATATAATTATTGTATATATAAATAATTGTATATATCAAAATTCATATAAAAAAATGTTAAGATTTTTTAAATAAACTTTTTGTAACTTTGGCCTGATCTACGGTCCGACCTGGCCTAAGGTTTGATCCATGAGCCGTACCGGGCCGACCCCAAAATATTGCAGGGGAGGAGGCACGGCCCAGCACGGTCGGTTTTAGAGCTCTACTCAGGAAATATAACTCGTCAAATCGGCAATGTGTGGTTGTTAAAGCAGGCATAGAATAGAGGCTTGGTTCATTAGTCAAAGAAGTAAAACTCCTGAAACCGGCGCCAATTTCAATCGAGAATCGAGATAAGGTTCTCTCTAGCCCTCTCTTCTCTCTTTCCCTGTATGACCAGATCGTGTGGCTATTAAACTCGAAGCTGTTCTGTGAACAGAGCAGGAGGGAGGGGGGAGAGAGGGAAACAGAGAGAGCTGCAGCGACACTCTTTTCAAACCCTAATTATTTAAAGACTATTCAAGAGAAAACAAGCCCTAATTATCCGCCATGACTGCTCTCCAAGCTTCTCTTCTGTGCAAACATTCATTTTCTGACATTTATTTCTCAAAACGTCCTCATGCCTCTGTTAGCAATATACACCGCTGCAATTCATTTGCTTGTCCCGTCTCATTTTCCTTATTTAGAGTTCGTTCGTGGAAATCTCGATTTTACCAGTACCGTCCACTAATTCTTCAGGCATTGCTGCCAGAAAACGCGAATTCAATCTCAGGGTCGAATTTCTCCGATAATGATTCAAGTCCGGATATCGGGAAGCTGCAAAACGAGGATTTTTCAAAGGAATTTGGCAGTGAAAGCTTGAGACCTGAGTCTGAGGTCTCAGGGATAGATGATGAGGGAGTTAGAGAAGTTAGTGCTGAAGTGGAGGTTGTGACCGAATCTGAAGACAATTCGGTTGAGAAAGCAGGGCGAGAGAATAGATTGCCGATAGTGGTCTTTCTAATAGGAGTCTTGGCTTTCGCAAAAAGAGGACTTGAAAAGCTTGCCCTCTCAGAGTGGTTGAGTTGGTGGCCATTTTGGCGGCAGGAGAAGCGTTTGGAACGTCTGGTTGCTGAAGCTGATGCCAATCCCAAGGATGCGGCAAAACAGAGTGCTCTATTGGCTGAGCTCAACAAGCACAGGTTCAGCGCTACTATCTCATCCTTTTCGGTTTCACTTTAATTTGTTTTATTAAGAGAATTATTGTTTACTGAACTTTGGAGCTTCGTTTTTTGACTTCATAGTGCTTTTATATCATAAATAGAGCAATGGCTTGGGCTTGACTTTCTAGGCAATTGCAATATTAGTTGAAAACTTGAAATGGTTTTGTTACTTTCTTTTAGCGGTCACTGATTTCTTCATTGGCGTTGGCGTCTATGTGCTCCCAATCACAGATAGGTGGTATCAAACTTTTTTTTTTTTTTAATACTAGCTATTTGCGAGCAAACTCCACGATAAAAAATATGCCATAAATGCTAATTTAGCATTTCATCTACCTGCATTGCTTGCTTATTTTTTCCTTTTTTTTCTTATTAACTTATTTTTGGGATTTTTTTCTTCTTTTTGTTCTGGAATATCAGCTAAGGATCTTTTGTTAGGATAGAAAACCAAAATATCCTTTTGATCTTTAATATGCATCTATAAAGGCCATTACCCAATGTTGGTCCCGCCTATCTGGGGTCTTGGGAGGGTAGATTGGATATGGACTGTATTCTTTGGTACTTTTTACACAAAATGAATGCTCTCAGACTCAAATTTTCTCTCAAACATCTTTAAGTTTGTGAATTATTTTTCTTATTTAAAGATATAATGCTTTTGAATTTCTAATTAAGTTTTGATATTTTGGCAGTCCTGAGTCTGTCATAAGACGTTTTGAACAAAGGGATCATGCAGTAGATAGCAAAGGAGTGGCAGAATATCTTAGAGCTCTTGTGGTTACCAATGCTATTGCAGAATATCTTCCAGATGAGGCATCTGGAAAGCCCTCTAGTCTTCCTACCCTGGTAATATTAACTCACATCTTAATACTGTTTTTTTTAATTGTCCTTTGAAGTTCATACATGACTGTGGCATGCCAAAAGTGGTAGGGTTTTACCAGTTTGCTTCAGGTTCTCCTTATTTGAGACTGCTTCATTGAATGTCCAAGTTTGATTATCTTAACTTCTATCTTTTGTTACTTGTTCCGTGTTCATTTTTGTCAGTGATGTTATGTCCTTGCCCCATTAATGTTAGCATTAGTTGGCTGTAAGCTAAATATTTTGCATAATCACTGTTTTTCCTTGATTTCCAATGAATTAACAGAAATCCACTTTATGCATAGGAAGTTATGAGAAAATGAAAGCATCAGTGCTCTTGCGCTCCATAAGCAGGTTTCTGGTTTTCCTTGTTTTAAGTTCCCAATAGTAACAACTCAGTTCATATTTATGGTTTTTGTGCATGTTTCCAAATTCATTCCCCCTCCAATTGTAACTGTTTGACATGCCTCCAGCATTTATTTAAGATATACTATATTGCTTTGGTTGACTATTTTTGTTAAATACAAAAGTAGATTCTATTGCATGTGGTAATTTGTACTAAGTGCTGAAAGTGCAGGGAGAAGCAGAAGTGTCTCAAAATAAAAGAGTATATTGCATTTGAGTATATTTGGACCAGTAGCAACAACTCAGTATACACTCTCCTGCTTTCTCTATGCACTTTCAGCACTTGGTCCAAATTACTACATGCAATATAATCTACTTTTGTGTTTTAGAAAGATAGTCCACCAAAGCAATAGAACCTATTTTAAATAAATTGCTGGAGGCATGCCAAACAGTTCCAATTGGAAGGGAAATAAATTTGGAGACATGCACAAAAACCATAAGATACATATATAAACATAAGAGTTGTTACTATTGGGAACTTAAGATACATATATAAACATATTTGCTCAGTGTTTTCAGATGCCGAGGCATGACATGAGGTTCTCCATTTACTTAAAGTGTGAGGTCTAAGTCTCATGAGAACCCTTTTTTAATTATAATATATTATACATATACTCAAGATACATTATATAAATTAAAAAATAGCAATGTAAATGTGAAAAGAAAAAGAAACATAAACACCCAACAATATGAGAGTAAATTCAAAAGAGGCATATTCCACTGCAAAGCTTCATTTTTGAGAAGAAGGTAATTATATGGTTATATCAAAAAGGATTCTACATGCAGGGATACACAAAAAATCTCAAAAACTACAAATAGCAGCTCCACCAATACAAAAAACTACACAGACATAGACCTGTTACCATAATCTTTTTCCTTCTCTACCCCATATCCGGAAATCTCAATCTTCTATATTAACAACTTTTCATATAGTCAAGGGACTGGGAGGTATGTACCTGGGTTTGATCTCTCATCGGAGGGAACCGTAATGCAGAATATTATTTTTTTGGTGAAAAATATGAAGTATTGTATTTATTTATATTGCTATTATGTACAAGTATAAGATTGTACAGTTTTTTTTTTTTTTGGATAAATGTATAAGATTGTACAGTTAGTCACCATACGAAAAATGCTCTAGCCAAGATCGTTGGCCTGAACAGCTTCAACCAAACAAGTATCAAATTCAAAAAAAGCTTGGTGTGGTATATACAGCCAGCAAGGAATGTTCACACCCAATCATCCTTCTTGTTAACTTCTTTCTTTCCATATGCACCATGAAATGGCTGTACAAATGGTGCTCCACAATTTTCCTCTTCTGCTTAGGCCCTCCATTCTCCAAGAACTCAAATGGTCCCTTAAAGATTTTGTATAAACCCATCTAAGGTTTAGAATCTTGTTGAATTGAGAATACACTCCTCACCATTTTGCAGTGCAGAAATAGATGGTCTGCTGTTTCTTTTTCTACCCTGCATAATACACAGTTATAGGATTGCAGTTCTATACCTCTTCTCACCATTTTTCTAGCACAGCAGTCTACAAGAGGAAGACTACTTTTGAAGGAATAAGGGGAATCCGTATTGCTTTGCAAGGGAATTTCGACAATTGATAATTGCTGAACTTCTTAAGATAGGATCTCACAGTAAATTCACCTGAACCATTCTGCTTCCAGATTCTTGAGTTTTCCTGATCAAGCCTTGGTAGATTGCTATTAAGTACCTGAATCATGACAAGCCAAGTCCTCTATCTCCCAGTCATTTAGGTGTCTCTTGAAAGTGGGACACCAAGACACTACACCATCTTCCATAAGCTGCTGCTATCCAAGCATTCCTGTTAGCAGCCAATATGATTAGAGAAGGGAATCTATCCATCAGTGCTCTGTCACCAGACTATGTGACTCTCTAAAAAACTGATCCTATTACCAGCACTCTCCTTCTGCTGAAATTTGTTATAAAATTGCTCAATGCCTCTCCAGATTGAGCATCCATAAGTCCCCTCGTTTATTCCCGTGTCCCAGTTGAAGTTCCTTGGCAGCCCAAATTTTTCCACAAAAATCTGCCTCCAAAGATTTTGGGTCTGCATGCTAAATCTCCAAAGCCATTTTCCTATTAGAACCATATTCATTTTTTCTTACTCTTTTAATCCAATAATCCCTAAAGCCCAATCTGCTGTAGGCTTGCAAACATGTGCCCATTCTACTGTATGTATTTTATTTTTCTCCCTCCATCCTCTCCATAGAAAATCCCTTTGTAATTTCTCCATCTGTTTACTTTGCAGCATAATGTAAAAGGGGTATAGGCAGCTCTGGTAGGCCTTTAGTTGAGGGCGCTTGGCACTTCTTTTGTAACTTTTAATAAAATTGATTTTTTTTTTGTTGATAAAAAATTTATATAGTCTTCAAATTCCAACTTTCAACTTCTAACTTTCTAAGTTCTAACTTCAAGTATTACAATGTCAACAAACAAAAAGCAAAATGGCACTTAACAGTGCTTCTCTTCAGTGTTCAAAGGTAAAACATGTTTTCATTGTTGGTATTTGTATGGGTTAGTAAAAGTAGAGTAGGGTTAACTTAAAAGCAACTAGAGTTAAAAATAATAAAACAATAAATTGCAAGTAAAAAAACTTTACATTTGAGGTTCAGGCTTACGGCGTACTTATTTCACAAGCCCTGACCGGAGATGCATGTCCCAACAGTGCTTCAGACCATGATATGTACACCTTACTTGCACTTTGCAAACCAACTGTGAGCATCGGGGTATTCCATGGATGCCTTGCACTGAGGTGTGCCTATAGGTGTACGACCTGTACACATCTGAAAATACCAGTATACCTATTTACTTATATTATATATGTGCATATTATTTATTTGTGAATTATTGAAGTAGCTTCTAATATTAATATTTTAATAGAAGATGGAGATACTTTTCACTTTCTTTTCTTTTCATAAGAGAATGGGTATAATATATTGGAGAAAAAGTTGTCTATATATTTTTCTTGTCAGAATGAAGCTAAGGGAAATAGATACCCCCTGAAAAAAAGAAAAGAGGGAGGGAGGGATGATACTAAGATATATGAATACATGGCAATTCATAAATCTGCACACTGATGGTGAGAATGGTGTAACTCATGAGTGGATTAGGGTGCTAAGGTTTTGGTGCAGTTGGGGTCCTTGGGGAGAGGAGTGATTAAGTTGGTCACCATCACAGAAATCCATTCCATTTGGATCTTGAAGATCTTCATAGGTTTACAGTTGGTTCAATGATCAGAGAATTGGTTATGGTGATCACTCATCAGATCTTCACCGAAGACCCAACAGAGTAGAAACTGTTATGGTGAGATCTCCTACTCTGACAATTTCGTCAACCTAAGTTTTAATGGATACTTACTAGGCAATCCAAGGTTGTTTATGGCTCCCTATCTTATGAAAAGTGGCAAAGAAATCAGAAAAACCCAAAGAGTCTTGCTTTGGGGAGGTTGCAGGGATGAGCACAAATTCCTCCTTGTGAACTGGGTGAAAGTTTGTACCCCAAAAGAAGGAAGTTTGGGGATTTGAAATATAGGGGTGGCTAATATGGCAATGATTGGAAAATGGTATTGGAGATTTAGTCATGGTCTAAAATGTCCACATATTTCCTATTATTTCCAGGACATATTTCCATTTCCATGGGTACCAATGTGGAATATTACTGGAATCAACATATTCCCTAGTGATATAGTGAAAATTCCCAGTGCTATGTGCCTATTAGGATACACAAGATGATATTATAAGTTTTATAACATAAGTTGGTGACAATGTTGTAAATAATGTGGATTAGCAATGTTATTGCCTATCTAGTGGATTAGCAATATTAACACAAGATGATATTAAATCTTAGTTTTGTTTTGTGTAATAAATTGTTTAGTTAATCCATTAGAATTACTTAACTTTCAATGACTTCAAATTTTGCTTGAAACTCACTCTATTATATAATTTTGACTCTTAAAATTCACAGGACAGCTTTGCAGCATATTATTTTATCCATTAACCTTAGTTGCTTAGCTTTTTTGATGTTTTGAAACAAGATAATAACTTAAGAGGTTGTATCTATGCGTCTTTTATTATGGGTGCTCATATTTTAGAGATGGATATGGCACTGAAGAGAATAGAGTGGTGAAACAGTACTCATGTAGCCAACCCCATATAGTTGGGACAAGGCTTAGATGATGATGATGATGATGATGATGATACCTATGCTTCTTTTATTTATTTTTGATCAACCCTATGCTTCTTTTATTATTTTGTAAAATATAATTATATGTTTTTGCACATTTCATAATGTTTCCACTATGACTACAATTTTTACGATATTTTCCTATGAAATTTTTGACCTGTTTCCTCTATTTGGATGACTGATATTTCTACTACGATTACAACATTTTAAGCCCTGGGTTTAGTGTAGAAACAGGGACTTTATGGAGGTGGATTTTTGAAGAAAAGTATGTATCACATGATCATGGTGAGGTAACCATATTGTATGGCTGTTCATTGTGGAGGGAATGGAGGGACCAAATGCAGGGTGGGAAATGGTGCAAGGTTAGGTTTCTGGGCTAATGTGTGGTGCAGTAGCATGTCTCGCAGACTGAGGTCTATATGTAATGGCTGATGACAAAGTGACTATGATTGCTCAAGTGTATGAAATAGGAGGGGGTAAGGTGGTCTGGACACTGGGGTCTAGAAGAAGCCTGCATGATTATATTTATTTGACAATGTTACACAAGTTTGAAGTTGTGTTTCACTTTGAACCTTTTTTTTTTTTTTTAAATATTTGGACGTTCTTTTAATGTATTGGGTAGTTTGCTGAAACTGATCATTTTACAATTAGTTGAAAGAGTTGAAGCAGCGTGCAACAGGAAACATGGATGAGCCCTTTCTTAGCCCTGGCATATCTGAGAAGCAGCCACTACATGTGGTTATGGTAAGGACTAAGACAAACACAATTTTGATTCATTTTCTGCTAGAGAATAAGATGGGTAGTGCTGTCTCTTATATTAAATAGATTGCTAGCTTCCTTGGGTCGTTTATCTAAAATGATTTGTTATACTTGCATCCTGCATTTCGATATTGTAATACTCAGTTTGATTAATTTTCCTGTATTAGGTTGATCCCAAAGCATCAAACAGGTCAACACGTCTAGCACAAGAGCTCATCTCAACCATATTGTTTACAGTTGTTGTTGGTTTGATGTGGTACGACCTTTCTGTATAAGTTTCTTGTATTTTTTTTGTCATAATTTATATTCAAATATGTAGTATAGATGGTTCACTTTTGAATATATGGAGATCAGTTTATCTTTTCCAACTTTAGCAAGATTTTCTGCAGCAACTCACTCAAACTAGTAAATATAAGTAATTTCCCACCATGTATTCATTATGTTGGTATGGAATGCTGGCATTTACTACAATAATGTGAGGATATTTGAATTGTGTCAGTGGTCGTCTCTCATGGATTTTTTTGGGTTTTGTGCATGTTTGTGCAGTTTTTGGTTTGCCTTCTTTAGTCCTATTCGAGTTTTCTGTTATTGCTTTTCCCTCTCTGGGCATCTAGCACAAGAGCTCATCTCAACCATATTTTTTTTTTACAATTGTTGTTGTTTTGATGTGGTATGGGCTTTCTGTATAAGTATATTCTTTTTTGTCACAATTTATCTTCAAATATGTAGTGTAAATGGTCTACTTTTGAATTATGGAGATCAGGCTATCTTCTCCAAGTTTAGCAAGATTTCTGGTGGAAAATCACCCAAACTAGTCAATATATGTCATTTCCCACCAAAAATGCATTTATTATGTTGGTTTGAAATGCTGGCATTTACTACAATAATGCGAGGAGATTTGAGTTGTATCTATGGTCCTCTCTCCTTGGAAACTTTTTGGGTTTCCTTTTTTTGGGGTGGGGGTATGTTTGTGCAGTTTTTGGTTTACCTTCTTTTAGTCTTATTAAAGTTTTCTGTTATTGTTTTTCCCCTCTTTGGGTAGGCTGGACAATTGCACATAGGGGTGTAAACGGATCGAATTCGAATCGAAGTAGGCAATATTCGAATCCACATCCGGTTAGAAAATTTGATATCCGGCAGATATTGAAAATCAATGTCTGAATTCGAATCCGATTAAATATTCGAATATTCGATTTATTTTGAATTCAACCAATTAATTATTTTAGGTAATTAATAAGTATATAAAAATATTTTATTTATATAAAGTATATAAATATATAAATTATTTATATAATTTAATTATTATATATAAAATATGTAAAATATTTAAATATTTTATATATTATATATTATGTATAAGAATTAAATAATCGGTCGAATTCGGATATAATCAGGTCATATCCGAATTCGATTCGGTTATGTTGAATCTCGAATTCAAAATCGGATTTTTGAATTCAAAATCTTGAATACTGTTGAATCTCTAAGGGGATCTTCTTGTATCTATTCATTATTTTAATGGAATTGATGTTATTTATCAAAAAAAAATACTGTTGACGCCCCTATTTGCACTCTCGTCTTTTGAATTGTTAATAATTTATTTGTTATTGATCCAAAAAGAACATGCATTTTCTAATTTCAACAACTCCCATGCCTGAATTTGTTTCATTACATGAAATCTTGAGTTTTCTGCTGTTTTGAAGTAGAGGTTTGTTGTCAGGGTAATGGGAGCAGCTGCACTTCAAAAATATGTTGGCGGCTTAGGTGGAATAGGTACTTCTAGTGTTGGCTCAAGTTCTTCATATGCCCCAAAGGATTTAAACAAAGAGGTTATGCCAGAGAAGGTAGTCAATTGATAATAATATGCAAAATTTTCTGCTTTCAAACTTTAGTATTATACTGATCTTCTTTTTGTCATTAGATCTTAAAAATAGTCCCAAGTTTGTCTATTACCTCCTCCAAAGTTCTGTTTTTTCCAATAAGATTCTATCATTCCTCTCTTCCCAAATTACCCAACTAATTGCTGCCTTGGTAGCTCTCCAAAGTACTTTCCTTCTTTTCTTTGGTTGCCTCAAGAAGTTAGGATTGTAAATGGCCACCACATCTTGAGGGGGGTCCCACCTGCAGCCAAAAAGAGAACAAAAAAACTCCCAAATTCGATGCACAAAGGAACAAGAGATTAATAAGTGGGAGAGGGTCTCATCAGTACCCCTACATAAGAAACACATATGAGGAGAAGGGCTAGAAAATGGCTTTTTTCTCTACAACACATCACAAGTATTTACCTTTGCAAGGAATATTTTCTTACAGAATGCTTGAATTTTAGGTAAAATAGGCTTACTCCAATTTTTTATTATTTATTATTATTTTTTCGCTGGGAAGTCCACCCCTTGAGGATTAGGCAAAGCAAGGACTTAGGAAGAAGAGGAACAGGTAAAGAGACTGTTTGGTGAGACTGTCCAAATTCTAGAGTCCTCAAGGTTTTGGTCTAGGAAAACATCCCCCAAAAGTCAAGTAGGTGAATCAAGGATGTACACTTACTTTCCCTTGAGCCTCTTATGAAGCCTTGGTTCCAGTTTAAACCAGTAGGAGATGGTGTTCCCATTTTAACCACAGCTTCACCCTCAAAATTAGAGAGGGCATAAAGTTCAGGAAACTGATCTTTGGGTGGAGTCTCCCCTAACCAAAGGCCTTACTAGAACTGGATTTTATCACTCCTCCCCATATCAAAACAAATGGAGTTTAGAAAGATAGGGTAAACCTCATGAATATCTTTCCAAGGAGAAGATAAAATTGAGTGGGGAGCAATTTTAGCATCCTAGTTGTTGTCTTCTAACCCATGAATGCTTTTTATTACATTGTGCCACAACTTGTCTCTTTCAAAAGGGAAATCTCCATATCCATTTACCTAGTAGCAATGTTTTTAAGGGCAATATTTCCTTTCCCTAGGCTCCCTTTCTCCTTTGGTTATTAACCTGTTCCCATTTTACCAGATGATCCTTTTTTTTCCTCTCCCAGTTCCCACAAAAAGTCCCTTATGTATTTCTCTAGTTGTCTTGCTATCCTAGTTGGGATGCAGAAAGTGGAAAGGAAATAGATAGGAAGATTTTCCAGAGATATAATTCCTTTTCCATAGATCTAGTTTCTTAGCAAACCTCTCCACCATTGGCTTCCAAAACCCATCGGACCTAAGGTTTCCACTCAAAGACAAACCTAAGTGAATTATAGGCCAGTTCCTAACCTCACATCCCAACAAATCAGCAAACCTTAGAAGTTCTCCTTCTTCCAGATTAATCCCTACAATTCTACTTTTGCTCCAATTAATCCTTAATCTAGAAATATACACAAAGTTGTCATTCAGCATTTTCAAGTTTCTCATCATTTCTAAATCAACACCCTCATAGAATAGGATTGTATCATCAGCAAACTGAAGATGGGAAACAACCACTTGATTCCTACCAATCCTTCAACCCCTAATCAGGCCCTGTATATATGCTTTCATTACCATTCTGCTTAAGACCTCTGCCACTAAGGTGAAAAGGAAAGGGGCTAAGGGGTCTCCCTACCTAATCCTTCTCTTGGCTGGGAAAAAAATCTTTTGCAATCCTGGATCTTGCCTCTATACAAGAAATACTGCCATACTGGTTAGTTGTCAGGATATTGCCTTTATCAAGCTACATAAATGCTTTACCATACTTTATTCATATGTATATCTTATTTAAGGCTGATTAATAAGCTGAAAGCTGTGCTGTTATGTTTTGTATATGTACTTGCACATTTCATCATTCTACTATTTGACTTGTCACAGAATGTGAAAACCTTTAAAGATGTAAAAGGTTGTGATGATGCTAAACAAGAACTGGAGGAAGTAGTAGAGTACCTCAAAAACCCAGCAAAGTTCACTCGCCTAGGAGGGAAGTTGCCCAAGGTTTGTTGACATCTTCAAGTTATTGCCATAAACATTTCCATGTTGTTACTGTTTAAACATAAATGCACTGAATGGTCATGTGTGTTTTCTTCAGTATGAAGCTTTTGGATACCTTTTGTGAATCTTGTAATGCTTGGGGAGAAAAATTAAATGAACACTTTCCACTTTTCAGGTTCATTGAATTTAAGAGAACACTGTCCAGTTCTTCACATTCTTATATATAATTGCCATTGGTGGTTAAACAATTGTAGTTGACATTTTCCAATTTTAAAAACAAAAGCAAACAGTTCAAGCAATAGTGTCTTTATGAGTCATTCGTTCTTTGTTTTATACTTTTTTCTTTGATAGTTTTCTTTTTGAAAAGTAACTTTCTGAGTTCATTGATAAGCTGTTTGGCATTAATACTTTTCAACATGCTAATTACTGATTGGTTGTTGATTGAATTTAATATGTACTTTTGCAGGGAATTCTATTGACAGGAGCACCTGGGACGGGAAAGACTTTGCTTGCAAAGGTATAGGGGTTATCTCAATATATGATCCAGTTATGTAACTAGATTTGGGGGTCACATCATGGCAGAAACACTCTGTCTGGACATGCACATTCTATAACCTTAGGTTGTGACTTCTATATTGTTGCAAGGCTTGAGTGTTCCTTGTTACTGATGTTAGTGGGACAGTTTCAGCTATTAGTCATTTCTTTCTTTCTTTTCTTATTGTTCTTATCCTAGGATATTTCGCCTGGGGCATACTTGTATTTTTGCCTTTTTATAAAGATTAATATAAATAGAAGACTTGCAGCTTTTCTTTCTATCATCCGTACCTCTCTTCTCTCTCTCTCTCTCTCTCTCTTTCCAAAGGGGATTGGACGTGGCTACTTTTGTTTCAGAAGAGAAAAAACAAAACCCTAGCGGCGGCTTGTGTTTTCAATTTTCTCTGGCAGTTGTGCTTGCAGAAACTCTAGTAAGTCCTGCGGCTGTACTTCTACTGAAACCCTAGTGGCTCCATGCGATAGTTACTGAAAACTCTAGCTGTGTTTGGCCATGGGATGGTGCTGGTCTGTTGAAACCCTAATCGAAGGAGGTGTTGATGGTGCAATGAAACCCTAGAAGGTTCTGATCTAGTGCTACAGGTGTGGTTTTGTTTCAGTTTATCTCAGTATTCTTTATCCAATGGTGTGTAGGGCTTATGCCTTGATTATATGATTACTGGTTTGAATAATTGGATGGTTAGAGTGGGGGAACCACATTCGGACTAACAGTAATGTCTGTATTGGTGGTGCTGAACCGAGGACTGGACTATTTATTGTTCTGTTTGGACATTGTAGTGACTGATATCTCATTCTCAGTAGTAGTTCTTGTGCTCTCAGCAATATTCAATAGTTTATTGCTCACATTCTAGGAGTAAACCTTGAGTTGCCACATTCCAGTTGTGGCGGCTGTGCTGTTAGGTGCAATTTGGACTGGTTGGTTGTAATTTTCAATGGCAAGTCATGAATTGACCTCACCGGGGAACACCTCAACCCGCAACACAGCAGGTATGGGAGGTGAAACCATGGTTTTTCCCATGCCAATTATCCCTTTGAATGGTCTGAACTACTTGGAGTGGGCCAAGAGTGTAAAACTCTATGTAACAGCAAGGGGTAAGGCCGGTTACATCAATGGAAGGGTGAAAGAACCCAAGGGTGATACAGCTGAACATGATAGGTGGCACCAAGAAAACAGTATGATGTCTTGGCTCCTCGCAGTTATGGAACCTGATGTGAAGAAGAATTTTATGTGGGCAGACACCGCCAGTGAGATCTGGGAACAAGTCAGAAGTACCTATTCTAAGCAAAGGCATTATGCCAAGATTTACCAACTACAAGCTGAGTCCTCTATCTGTAAACAGGGAAACCGTAGCATGTCCTCATATTATTCAGCTTTTACCTCCATATGGAAGGAGTTGAACCATTATCAGGCTATAAAGTGGAAGCACGATGATGATGCTAAGGCGTACAGGAAGTTGATCTCTTAGCAACGAGTGTTTGCTTTCTTGTTAGGGCTGAACCCTGTATATGGACCATTAAGGGTGCAGATTCTAGGAAGCAAAGAATTGCCTATAGTACACGAAGTATACTCCCTTGTCCAATCTGAAGAAAGCAGGCGAAGTGTGATGGTTACAGTCGAGGGGGAGCAACAAGTTGCCTTGGCTGCGGTGAATAACAGCTCAACAGGGAAGAAAGGTGATCCTAAGAAGGCAGACGATAAAGATAAACTCTTTTGTACCCACTGTAGAAGGTCACGACATACACGCGACACCTGTTGGGACATCCACGGGAAACCCAAGTGGGCAGCAAAGAATCAAGAACAGGGTAAATGTCACGTGAAAAGAACGAATGTAGCACATGTGGCAACCCAAGACACTCAGGTTGCTGGTAGTACCCGGGACCCTCCTAATAAGCCTGGCCCCAAGGAGGATATAATGAATTATTTCAGAGAGCATCTGGAATCTTATGGTAGAGCATTGCGGCAATTGGACAACTCAGTCACTGGTACTCCCTCTACCTCCTTTGCATCTACTTCAGGTAATGTGGCTTCTGCATTCCATGTCACCCCCACAGATTCCCCTTGGATTATTGACTTAGGGGCCTCAAATCACATGACCGGTAAGCCTAACCTATTTCATTCTTATAGCCTTTTGTCAGGAAGGGATAGAGTGAGACTGGCAGATGGTTCATTTTCTTCCATTGCAGGTCAAGGATCGATATCCCTTCCCCATGGCCTTAACCTGAATTGTGTATTGCATGTCCTTCAACTTCCCATAAATTTGCTTTCAATTAGTAGCATTACAAGTTCTTTAAATTGTAGTGTAACCTTTTTTGCTGACTCATGTGTTTTTCAGGACCTAACATCTGGGAGGACGATTGGTAGAGGAAGCCTGGTGGATGGTCTCTACCTTTTTGACAACAAAGCTGGTCTTTCCATGTCATCCTCAGAGTCACATAGTCAGTCAAATAAGAGTCAAATTTTGTTGTGGCACAGTCGTTTAGGTCATGTTTCTTTCGAAGTAATAAAATGTTTGTTTTCACTTTTATTTAAGTCGTGTTCAGTGTTAGAGTTCATGTGTCAAACGCGTCAGTTGAGTAAACAATGTAGAACAACCTTTCATTCAAGCAATAAAAGATCAAATGTTCATTTCCATGTTGTGTATTCTGATGTATGGGGGCCTACAAATGTAACCTCTGAGGGTGGATATCGGTATTTTATTACATTGATTGATGATTACTCTCGCTATACATGGRTAATCCCTATGCGTAGCAGATAGTGCAAGACTTCTAGAGGATGGTGTTTATATAGTTCCATGTTGAAATATAGATCTTCCAATCCGATAATGCGAAGGAGTACTTCCATGGGGAGCTAAATGAGTTCGCCTCCCATGGGTCTATTCATAGAAGCTCATGCGCCAGAACACCACAACAGAATGGGGTTGCAGAAAGAAAAATCAGACACCTCCTTTAGATAGCCCGTGGGATGATGTTCCACATGAATGTCCCAAAAAGGTTTTGGGTGGATGCTATACTTACAATTGCATATGTCATCAACCGCATGCCCTCCTGAGTATTGAATTACATGCCCCTCATCAGTAACTGTACCCTCAGTCACCTTTATTTTCCATCCCCATGAGAGTTTTTGGTTGTCGGGCCTTTGTCCATGATTTGTCTCCATCCAGAGGTAAGTTAGACACTCGGTCCATTCCTTGTGTCTTCCTGGGGTACCCATCCTCTCAAAAGGGGTATCGGTGTTTTGATCCTGTCAGTCGTAAATACTTTGTGTCTATGGATGTGTCATTCTTTGAGTCCGAGCCGTTCTTCCCCCCTTCTCCTCGGGGGGAGAGCCGTAGTGTGGAAGAGGAGATGCAGGTTCAGGTGTCTCTTCCTTCTATTCCGGACCTCACTCCCTTCCGTGTCTTCCAGCGTACTCGTCGGAGAGATCAGCAGTGTGATAGAAATGTGGAGCAACCAAATACTGAGCAACTGACATCATCAGAATCCYAGGAGGTAAGTCCAACCCCTAACCCTTCTCCCACTATGGACGACCTAGACATCCCTATTGCTCAACGAAAGGGAGTCAGGTCGTGCACTACCAAACACCCCATTACCCACTTTGTTTCCTATGACCACATCTCTCCCTTGTACCGAGCCTTCCTATCGGCAATTGACTGCATCCCTGTTCCCAAGAATGTTGCAGAAGCCTTAAAATACCCTGAGTGGGATAGATGCCATGAAAGAGGAGATTGATGCCCTCCACAAAAATCAGACTTGGGAATTGGTGGATCCTCCAGAGGGGAAAGAACCCGTGGGATGCAAATGGGTATTCACAATTAAGCACAAGGAAAATGGAACAGTTGAAAGGTACAAAGCAAGACTAGTAGCCAAAGGGTACAGACAGGTATATGGAGTTGACTACGATGAGACTTTTGCCCCGGTGGCTAAGATGAACTCGATTAGGGTTCTCCTATCCTTAGCTGCTAACTTTGACTGGGATTTGCATCGACTGGACATAAAGAATGCCTTCCTGAATGGTGACTTGGAAGAAGAGGTATACATGGTTCAACCTCCTGGATTCTTTGCCAAGGGAGGGGAAAACAAGGTGTGTAAGCTACGAAAGTCTCTCTACAGCTTAAAACAGTCTCCCAAAGCCTGGTTCAGTAAGTTTCACATGGCAGTTCAAGAGATGGGGTTCCAACAGTGCCAGTCTAACCATACACTTTTTGTGAAGAGATGTCTGGAGCAGGTTGCCGTATTGATAGTGTATGTAGACGATATCATCATTACAGGGAGTTGGAATTCAGAGATACAGAAATTGAAACAATTCCTTGCATCCAAATTTGAAGTGAAAGATCTAGGACTCCTAAAGTATTTCCTTGGGGTCAAAGTTGCCTGTTCAAAAAGGGGTATCTTTGTTTCTCAAAGGAAATACACCCTTGATCTATTACGGGATACATGTAGGTTAGGTGCAAGGCTGGCAGACACTCCTATGGATGCGGACCACAAGCTAGGTGACTGTATTGGTGAACCTCTAAAAGATGTAAAGCAGTTCCAAAGGTTAGTGGGAAAGCTGATTTATCTATCCATGACTCGTCCAGATATTGCCTATTCAGTTGGAGTTCTGAGCCAGTTTATGCACTCTSCTAAGAAGCCACACATGGAGGCAGCAGAGAGAGTCCTTAGATACCTGAAGAAACATCCAAGAACAGGCTTACTATTCAGTAAACACAATCACCTAAAGGTGGAAGTCTTTACAGATGCTGACTGGGCAGGAGCCGTGGATGATAGAAAGTCCACTAGTGGGTATTGCACATTTGTGGGAGGAAATCTGGTGATCTGGAAGAGCAAGAAGCAAAGTATGGTAGCAAGATCAAGTGCAGAAGCTGAGTATAGAGCTATGGCACATGGGGTGGTTGAAGTCCTTTGGCTAAAGAACCTCCTAGGTGAGCTTAGAGTTGCTGTTCATAATCCTATGTCTCTTTACTG